TGTGCGCAAGGCCGCCACTGGCCGGGTATGTGACCTGTGTGTGAGATGTCAGCACTGAGACAACTGAGCACCTGTCTTGGGCGTGTGACGCAGAGAACCCGCTCTCCAGTCACGTTGGAGCTTAGCCCGGTGTTTTGGGCAGAGCGCCTGAAATTTTACACGGCAGGAACGCTTACGCGGTAAAAGCTACCACACACCGGGGTGCGTGCACGTGCGCACGTCGAAAATCAACTCTCAGCAGCAAAGCACCACCTGGGAACGCGTGCTGTGCGTGCTCAACCACGTCTCTTGAAGCAGAAATCGTAAAAGGCACGTAAAACAAAACCACGAGAAAGGCAGGAAGAATCTGCCAAGGACGCGCGCCACGTGCCGAGGGCGGCAACAGGCTCACCTTGTTCCAGATGAAGGTGCCCAGGAGGTTGTTGTCGCCGAACGGGTTGTCAGTGTTGGTGTAGCCCATGTACTCCTCCCCCCAGCCCATCTTCTCCCGCTTTTTCCGCTCCTTGGCCTCCTTCTTGGCCAGCCGCCGGGCCCGCTTCTCCTCGGGGGTCTCGAAGGCCTTCATCAGCTCCTCCTGCTGCTTCCGCTCCTCCCGCAGCCGCAGCCGCTCCTGCAAGCTCTGCTGTTGGCTCAGGGCTGCCGCCGCCTCCCGAGGGCTCTGGGAGCGGTCTGGGGAGGCCGAGCTGGAAGCCGAGGAGCCCGGGGACCAAGAGCGTGTCCGCCGCTGGTGGGCCCATCGGCCCCGCTGCCGCTCCTCCTCCGAGTCGGACTGCGAGGACCGGTCCTGTGAGCGCCAGCGTGGTGGCAGCGGGCTCGGGCTCTGCCTCCTTCGCCGCTGCCACCTTTCTTCCTCCGAATCCGACCTGCAGAGGGAATCACAAAGGTCTGCTTACTGCCTGCCAGTCAGTCCTTTGTGTGACAGACATTTCCTGAGTACCTGCTGTGCCAGGCGCTGTTCTAGGTTCTGGGGACATGGCAGTGACCAGCAGTGATACGGACGGTCCCTGCCTTTGGGAGGCTCACATCAACAAATAAACATGCAGCATGACACTAGATAGTGCCAGAAGTCAAAAAGAAGAGTGACTTAGCATGAGGAGATGGAGATCTGAGGAGGCAACTCTGGAGGAAGTTGGGAAGGATGCTACAGGGAGAGAGTAATCCACGAAGAGAGCACAGCAAGAGCAAAGGCCCTGGGGCAGGAATTTACCTGGCATGTTCAAGAAGCAGCAGGAGGCCCATGTGGCCGGAAAAGTGTGAACAAAGGGGAGTGAGGGAAGGAGTGAGGGCAGGGAGGTGGGCTGGGTCCTGATGGTGGAGGAACTCTAAGTGTAGAAACCAGAGGACCTGATCTGTCCAAGGTGACAAGAGGGAGCTTATAGGAGAAGGTGCTGTTTAAACTGGTCCCACAGGATGGGCAAGAGTGAACAGGAGTAAGACTGGCAGGACTGAAAACCAGGCAAAAACACTGTGATCAGGGAATGGAATGCACGAGCCGCAGGGATAGATTTGTTAATGGTCAGGGGCCTTTGAACGTGTAGAGGAACAACCAAGTCTCTTTATTCTGTTAAATGCTCCACCTATTAAGCTCACGTCAAAAAGTCTACACCATGAAAACCAATTATTTTGGAGTGTCTGTATGCAGACTACACATTTGACCAAATTTTCATTAACAGTGCCAATTCGAATTACTTATCCGGGATGGCTGATTATCGTGATTCAAATATTAGGAGACAGCAAATATAAAAGATGCACAGATGACAACAATAAAATGTACTGCTGTACATGAACCAATGCGGAAAACAGCAACACCAGGGGCTCACACCAGAGCCAGCAAACTTTCTCTGTCAAGAGCCAGACGGTCGAGGACACAGGTCTACCACTCCGCCGTTGCAGAGCAAAAGTAGCTCTGGACAGACAGGAATGAATGGGCACGGCTGGGTCCCGATAAGCTTTTACTTTTGCACACCAAAACTTGAATGTATTCGAGTTATCTCATAACATTTTCACATGTCCTGAAATACTATTCCTCTTCTGACTTTTCCCCTCACCAACTAAAAATGTAAAAACCAGGGGCGCCTGGTGGCTCAGTCATTAGGCATCTGCTTTGAGCTCAGGTCATGATCTCAGGGTCCTGGGACCAAGTCCCGAATGGAGGGCGGGGGGGGTCCCTGCTCAGCGGGAAGCCTGCTTCTGCCCCTTCCCACTGCTCAGGCATGCGCGCCGGTGTGCTCTCTCTCATAAATGAATGAAATCTTTAAAACAACATGTAAAAAGCATTCTTGGCTCCTGGGCTGCAGGCTGCCAAGCCCTGGTTAAACCACGTCTGCGTTATTTCCGTTCTGCCTCTTATAACTTCTTGGAAGTCCTGGGTTGCAATGATCTTATGAGACTTAAAAAAGAAAAACCACTTTCTCAAATGTAGAGGGCAATGAGCCACGTCCGACTACAGCCACCGTGGCCACGTTGTGAACAGGCCAACAGGATGGGAGACAAGGCATGCTGGGAGAAGCCCCAGGGAGGTCGTGAGTACACAGAGGAGCAAACTTCGACCACAGTGGGGCAGGGACTGGCCTGAGGGTCACAGCCAGTTAGGGGCTGAGTCAGCATTGGGACCTAGGTCTGAAAGTCAGTCCCTGGCACCGCCTGGTCCCTTTGTGCTGGAACAGACTCAAGCCAAGCCTGGACAGGTGTCCCATTTCCAAAAGGACACAACTGTGGGCCTCGGGGAAGCTGAGACCCAGGTCCTAGGAGTCAACCCAGGCCTGCCACCTGTCACCAACCGTTCTTTCCTCTGACACCCACTTCCAATAGCAGGTGCTGTCCCCCCTACTTAGGAAATCCCTCTCAAATCTTTCCCCACTGTGCCTCCCACTGCCTCCCTCTCTGAAAGCCACCACCATCGGTTGCCTAGACAACCGTACCATCCTCCTCCTCCCTGTTGTCACTCCTGCCAACCTCCTCAGTCCCTTTCCCACGCGAAAACCGGAGGAAGTTCCACAAAGTAAGCCAGACTACATCACTCAAAATCCTCCCAAGGCTTCCTCCTTCCCTCCGAATAGCGGCCAAACCCTTCACCACGGTACACGAAACTGCACGATCCGGTCTCTTCTTACCGCCCCGACCTCCTCTCCCACTTCCCCTCCGCCCCGCCTCGCTCACTGCGCTCCTTTACTGTCCCTCCAACCACCAGGTGCCCTGCCTGGAGCGCCTCTCTCTTTCCTTTTCGCTGCCTAACTGCGACTCGCACTCGGACGTCTCCTTCTCCAGGAAGCCCTCTCTGACTAATTCGAGGATCTCTGGCTCCCCGAGGGCGGGAGCCGGATCCCCAGCGCCGTTCACGCAGCGACCCCACCTGCGCTCCCGGCTCTGCCGCCTCCGCCTGCGCCGTACTTCGTCGTCCCGGCGCCGGCGGTTTCGCCGCCCATGGCTCCCGCTCCGACTTCGGCTTCGACTCCCGCTCCGTTGCCTGCGGCCCCTGCGACCTGCCGACCGCGAGCGCGAGCGTGTATCCCGACCCATCAGCTGAGACCGTGGCGGCAGCGCTGACACAAATATCCGGGGCCTGCGCCGGGGGCCTTCCTCCTCTGCGGCGCGCGCCGGGCTGCCCCGTCCGCGCCTGAGCCGGGAGAAGGAAACCCATCTCGCTGCCCCACCCCGCAGGGGCTCCGACGCCCCGTAACCTCTCCACTGCCCTCAAACGTGGCCCGTATGACGGACTCCGGCCAGGCTTTCGTCTCCAGGGCTGTGGGCTCGCCCTTTAGGCAGTGCTAGGGACAGCTCTATATGGGTCCTCGCGCCTTGGTGGGAGGGGCCTAGGAACTGTGGGCGGAGCAAGACCGAACCAGGAACAGCAAGTGGGGCGGAGCCTGGGGAGGCGGGACCCAGGGGAAGTGGAGCCGGCGTGGGTGGGGCCCAGAAGGCGGGAACAGGAGGAGGCGGGGCCTCAGGGCGGGGCCAAAGGGAGGTGAGCCGTGCGGGCGAGGTCTCTGGGCCGGTGCGGGCGCGGAAGCTGCGAGCTCAGACTCAGAGATGGTAAATCACTTTAACAAAGTCCCCCCACCCCCCAGCCCCAGCGAGGCAACATGGAGCTGGGATCTGAACTGGGTCGTGCAGCTTTGTTCTGTGGATGCTGGGGAGTCACGGGAGGGTTTTGAGCAGGGAGAGAGGGGCAAGGGCGCTGGTTGTTAGGTGGAGTCCCTGCTGGGCAAGGGGCCAGGAAGGACTACAGCAGGTAGGGCTGGAAGACCCCGAAGTCTCTGCTCCAAGCTCCCCCAGCCCACCCCAGAGGATGGTACTTCATGTTCTAGGTTAAGCTCTTCAAATGTTTAACATACAACTTCACGACCTCATCCTGAAATGCTAGCTTTGCACGCTCTGCTTGGTGCCAAGGCACAGGGTGGGGCTGGTGGCACGGAGGAATTTCCGAAGATCATCTCCCACCACCCCTGATAACAAGCCAGCTCATCAGCAGATGTGGATAAAACGTGAGGGGGCTGGCCCTGTGATTGTCAAAACGCAGATGTATCTTTGAGAGTATGCGCATACTCATCTTTGGATGGGATGGTAAGCACATTCCAGATCATCTCATCTGCGAGTCTATAAATGAGCTGTGTGGTTCTGCATCATGATGAAAACGGGTTTCCAAGGGCCTGCTTACGGATGGGATCTTATTTCCAAAGCAGCGTCTCTCCAGTTGGGAATCCTGGAGAAATGCTTTCCTCTTAAAAGGGGTCCATGCATTACCCAATTTGAGCAACTCTGGCAGAACCAATACAAACTTTGGGGAGTGTTTGTTCTTTTGAGCTGGGCTGCACTGATGTCAGAAATTTTTAAAAGTTTTCTGAACTCAACTGGAACCCGAAGGAGGCCACAGCTATTAAGGCATTGGGTCCTGTTGTTATTTTAAATACAACCAAGGTTTCTTTCTGCCCTCATTCAAAGTCAGTCCTTAAATTCCCAAGCAGACCCCGGGAACACACAGAGGCAAAGAGAAAGAGAGCTGATGCTTATTACCCGATTTTATTAGAGAGAACTCTTCAACATAAAAAGAAGGAGGGGTGGCGGGGAGGGGGCCCGAGGCTGCATATGTTATCCAGGGCCAGCAGGTCTGCACAGTTACAGAGGTGCCCACGGCTCTGGGTTTGAGAGAGACGGCATTCTGTGCCCGATGAGGCCGCGCTCTGGATTGTCACACCCCAGACCATGGGGGCTGAGCACACGGAACCCCCAGAGAGAATTAAGACACACAAGGTTTGCAGTTTCATTGTTTTGAAATCAGTTCGACCATAAAAACGACATGGGGGTGGGTGGGGGGGACAGGCGATGCAACTGAGCCACCAGAGAAAAGGCGGTGGAAGGCGCTGGCCCAGGGCATGGACCGAGGGGCTGCAGCGACAGTACCATGGCAAGGGACCCCACCGGAAGGGGAGTATTGCACTGAGCCAAGTGGTGGAGGGAGGGGCGAGGGGAGGTTGGAGGAGGGAGGCTGGCAGGGGCTCTCGGGAAGCTGCACCTTGTCAGTCTCGGGAAATGTCTTTCATTTTCACAGCTCAGCCATCCAGACAGTGCCCAGGCTCTCGGCTCTCAGCGGCCGCAGCCATCAGAGATGAGCCACAAGGGAGACAGGGTGTCGCCATGAAGGAATTTCGATTTCTATGCTGGGGGTTGGCAACAGCTGGGTGGGTCCAGGGCCTTCCTCTGGGGGTGGGGGGGGCCTTGGAAAGGCCACGAATTTGCTACACATTATAAATAAAGTCTTGCCTTCCCGCCCCTGGCCCCCCAAATAATAAGCAAACAACTCCCATCGGCACAGTCTGCAGACCACGTTAGCATCCACGTGACAGTTCTCTGAAAAGGGACAAAGAATGCAACCAACACAAAACAGGTCTCCAAAGGGGTCTCAGCGACCTAACACAAAAACAGAAACGTCATGATATCCAGGAGGCTTGCAAATTTCTCTCGCAAGTTAGCATCCAAGCGATGCCTTTGTTCCATGATTCACTGAGGAAAGCCCGAGGGGACCAGCAGAGCTCCCCTCCTTGCTCCTAAAGCTCCAAGTGGCTGAGGATGCCCTGGACATGGGGCGCACTGCTCCAGGACTGTGCATGCTGCTCTGGCCATCCCCACAGAACTCACAACGTGCCTGAACATCCGGCCTTTGGGGGCCTGGGCAGGGACTCCAATGCCGGCTTTTGGGTGACACAGTCGTCCCTGTTAGTCTTCAAGACCTGAGATGCACCTCTTGCTCAGCTGCCACCTCCTCGGCGGGAAGGGGTAGGGATGGACTGGCGACTCATGGCATGCAGCCAGGGCACTTGCAGACAGACGCCCATCTAAAATCCAGGTGAGGACACCTCCTGCCGTCTGGACAAAGCCCTCTAGGGCAACAAGGAGAAGACATCATTTTGCTTCTGATCTGGGACACCCACAGGGCTTGTTCTGATGGATCCTCTCACTGCTGCCTTACCCGGGCTGCATGCTGGCGCGTCCCTGGCCGCCCTGGACAGACAGCAGCCAGTCCAACAGGCTCCCTCCAGGCGCACGAAGTGAGCCGTGTGAGGGGAGATGACAGCAGGTGAGGGACCCAGATGAGGGACTCGGAAAATCAAACTCCTGGATCAGTGGGTTCTCCGCCAGGAAGGCAAGGGCTGGGAGAAATTCTTCCAGGTGTAGCTTCTGCTCCAAGCCAGCTCCTAGCTCCTCCCAAGCAAGCAAGCCATGGGGGGTGGGGGGCAGAGCGGGCAGGGGGAAACCATCCCCGCTGTTCCACCTCTCAAGAGGTGGGAGGGCATTTCTGTGGGGGCAGGACAGACCCTGCCATGCCAGCGGCTCCCATAGTCCCCTCTGGACCCAGTGGGGTCTCTGAGCCCGGGGGGGGGGGGCTGCTCCTGCTGAAGACGACAAACCCCCAAAATTTATTTTGTTTTTCACGAAGAACTTTGTCTCCTATTCTTTAGTTGTTTACACGTCACCATCTTAAAAGAAAAAGAAAGCCCTTCCCGGTCCTGGAGGGGGATCTCTTACTGGACAGCAGAGCAGCTTGACCGTGGGAGGGCCCCTGCTGCAGGACCCGCTCTCTGGAAGTCCCACGGCCTGAGGGCCCAGCGCGTCTCCCTTCACTTAGGCCTTAGGCCCTCTCTGCGAGATACAGAGCGGGCCGCGTGGGGAGGACAGAGAGGCCCACAGTCCTGAGCTCCACGGAGAGGGGTGGCCTCCTGGCCACTCCTGCTCCCGAGTCACCTGGCAGGTGAGGTGATTGAAAACATCAGGGTGGGGGGTGGGGGAGGTGGAAAGCCGCCCCCAGACCACTGGTCGGCCATCTCCAAGGACGGATGTCCAGTGCCTGAGCCCAGAGTGCCTGCGGGCGCGGGGGCACCCCGTCCAAGTGGAGAGCGGCAGAACCTCGGAGTGTGGATCTCAGCCGGGGTGACCAGGCCCTGGGGGCACAGGTCCCGGGAGCCAACAGGCCTTGTTCCCTCAGGGAGACACATGCAAGCACAGCAAAGAACTACAAAGTGCAGTGGAGTGGACTTTCTTCGTTTTTCCAACACGTCTTTTTTTTTTTTTTTTTAAATCTTTTTCTAAAAAAGCACACCTGTGCTGCCGTCTTTGTGCAAAGAGTAAGGACCCAAAATAAATACGTGATCGGACACTCAGGGAGGTTCACAGTCATAGGTAGTTGACAGGAGCGGCGGCGGCCGGCGGCGGACCGGGTCCGGCGGGCGGGCAGTGCCTCCGCCAAGCAGCCAGGGCGGCGGCGGCGGGCGCTCGGCTCCAGGGCGGTGAGTGCATAGAAGTTACTGCGGAAGGCAAGGGGGCGGGTGAGGGCAGCGGCGGGGCCGGGCGGCACCCCCACCTGCGGGGCCGGCCCCGCCGCTGCCCCGCCCCCGCCCGCCCCCGGCCTCCGTGTCCCCGGCCGGTCCCCGGGCAGGTGGGGCGGGGCGCGCGGCCCGAGGCCCCGGCCCAGGGCGTGGCGAGCCGCGGGCGCACTTACTGTGTCGCTCTCGCCGTCGGAGGCTGGGTGGGCGTGCGCGCTATAGTGAAGCGGGGAGTACACCCAGCTCCTCTCATCGGTGGGCTGGGCGGGCGGGCGCACGTGCAGGGAGCGCGCAGAAGAGCAGGGGTGCGAGGAGGCGCGAGAGGCGAGAGGAGGAAGGAAGAAACAGAAATAAAGGAGGCGGACCCCAACGCGGACGACGAGTAGGCGGCTCAGCCCCCGCGGCCCTCCCCCTGACGGGCCCTCCCCGAACCTGGACGGCTGTGGGGCCGGCGGGGCTGAGCGGCGGCAGCGCGGGGTAGGCGGCAGGAAGCGGGGCGCGGAGTGCAGGCGGGGCCCGGTACAGCGGAGCGGGAGGGGGCGGGGCGGGGTTTGCTTGCTGTCCCCTCCCCCTGCCCCGCCCTCTTGTTCGTCCGGGCCTCCTGCTCGGGCCTCCCGGGGCGCCCGGCAGCACCCCAGCCTCAGGTCCAGCCTGCTGTGTGGCCACCGGGGCCGCCAGCCGGAGTGGGGCCCTGAGGACCCTCCACTGGGGGTCCTGGGTGGTGAGTGCCCTGGGGGGCGCAGGGTGGAGCCCATTTCCTCGTGCCCAGGTGAGACCGAGGCCCGGGGCACCCAGAGAGCAAACAACAGAGGCCCAGCCAGAAGGTGGGCTGCTTTTCCTCCAGGGGTGTCAGGGAAGGGGTCCCCATTCTGGGTCAGACTCGGGGGGGCGCACGTTCTTCCAGCACCCACACCGGTCCCTCCTGGGTCTGTTCTCACCACAAGAACCCCCGCAGCCCCCTTCTTCTCTTTCTTCCTCCTCTTTCCCGCAGACCCCCACCTCCCAGTCTTCAGCGCTTGTGGACCTAGCCCGTTGCCTGGCCTCTGCTCGGAGCACGGGGCCTCAGCAGGCACCTGCCCTGGCTAAACCTACGGAGGCCACAACCCAACGAGCCCCCAGACCTGCCCCTCTTCCATTGGGCTGCCCCTTCTCTACAACCAGCCTCGCCTCTGCAGGGCTGGCTTCTTCAGAGCCTGGTGAAGAACAAGCGCCAGCATGCGGCCTCTGTGCTCTCCGGGTGAATGCAGGCCCCTCTGCCCTCGCTGCCCCTTGGGGCCCCCACTGCCTCTCCCCACCTCTGTGCCCACTCCTCCCTGCCCCTCCTATAGCTCTCGCTGCAGAACCTGCCCTCACCGGCCAGACCGTGGCACCCGCAGGAGGCACTTGGCCCACTGGGCACCACGGGCCGCTCATTCTGGTCTGAGCACCTGGCCCAGGGCCACACACCCCTTGAAGGTCATCCTCAGCAGACGGACTGGTACAATGGCGCACAGGCCCTGCTCACTGCTTAGTGGTCACAGCGCACAAAAACCCCAGCCTGCCCAGAAGTCCGGGGGCAGGGTCTGTCTGGGGCTGCTCGTGCCCAGTGTCCAACATGGGGCAGCTACATCCCATGTTCAGAGCCACGGGACAAGAACGTGGGACAAGAGGGTCTCCACCTGAACTCTGCAAGGAGCTGGTTCCGGCGGAGGGAGGGATCACGGGCAGCAGGACCCAGAACCCGGCGATGACCCCACTAAAGTGGGGCCAAGGACACATCCTCCCCAGTACTGCAGGCCCTAGGGTCTGCTCCCATTCACCTACCCTTCATACTTGCTGCTCCCTCTGCTCCTATGTGCCCCCCACCAGCCTCCGCTGTGCCCTCTACGGAGCCCACCCTTCCTTCTCCCACCTCCCCACACCCTGGGGTCAACCCCTCTGCAGGCAGCCTTTACAAATTGTTCCCCTGGTGGGGGGCCCTCAGGGCCTGCTGTGTGTCCTCAGCTCTTGGATCATTTTAAGGGTGTGGCATCCCTGTCTCAGCAGGACACAGCACGGTGGGAATGTCTGGGGAAGTGGTTTCCACTTCTTGGGTTTGCTCGGCAGAGCTGGACACCCAGTGACGCTCAGAGGCATCTGGGGCTGGGGGTGTGAGCCTCCGAGGGGACTCATCTTGAGAACAGAAACTCCTGCTTCAGGATTTCAACCTGTTCCTCCTGCTTGAGTGCTGTATGGCTCTGGGCAGGTTACTTGGCCTCTCTGGGCCCCTCACTTATTGCTCATGAGGACAATAATAGGTCCTGAGAATACCACTGTTACATGATATCCACACAGCATCCCAAACACAATAGATAGATGAGCATCTACTAGACACAGGAGCTGCTTGGGAATTTGCACCCAGATTTTATCTAAACCATGCCCTCTTGTGGGCTTTCTGGGGAGCCGAGACCTTGGTTTCTCCACTGTGAAGTGGGTATGGAAATACATCTCCTCTCTCCTGCAGTTAAGAGCCTGGCTTTGCTGACCCACATGACTGCCTACTTCTGCAGGGCAGACGCCCCTGGGGGAGCCATCAGCAGCCAGGTCTGAATACAGGACGTGTCCACCGACTTGTCCCTGACTCAGGCAGGCTGGGGAGAGGGGCAGAGGCAGCCAGGGGCTGGGGTCAGATGCCGACCCCACCACTGCAGCCAAGTGCCCTTAGCCCTGGCTGTGAGCCTCCAGGCTTAGCAATGCCCACCTCAGAGGGACCTAAGTGACATCACTGGGGGACACATGACCAGCCTCAGTCATAGTGATTCTTTCCCCAAGTCCCTTCTCAGAGGACGAGGGACAGCCAGGACCTGTGGCTCCCTGCTGCCCAGGGTGGTGGACCGGGGGCTGGGCTCCCTGGACACCTGCTGTGGTCACTTACAGTCCCTGAGGAGCTCAGCGTCACGGCCCGCAGTCGGCGATGCCGGGGAGAGTAAATCCAGTACCTCCCATCGGTGAACTGGGCGGGCCGGGCGGGCGGGGGAGGAAGCAAACAGAGGACAGGATGAGGCAACAGGAATCTGGCGGGTGGTTAGGTGGGGAGGGCGCTGGGCAGGGGCAGGAAAGCCGATGGCCAAGCGGGAGGTGAGTTTCGGGGTGGTGGGATCCCACTGCGGTCTGCCTACGTTCTCTGCTGCCCGCAGGGCCTGGCCGCCCACTCAGGTGTCAAGACCCAGACGCACACATAGGACATGGCCCCCTGGGGCCGCCTCACACACTGATCCACAGGATGGGACACAAACCAAGCGCCCAGGGACGGGGAGCTGACGGCGGGTGTGGGGACACACACACAGTGCATGCGCCTGTTACTTCTCCAGGCCAGACAGAGGCCCCAAGACAGACAGCAGGGTGGTGGTATATAAGGCAGCCATGGCTGCGGGCCCCCAGCTCACTGGCCATGGGGGCAGAGACAAGACTGAGGCCTGGGAGGAGGACAGGCAGTCCCCTTCATTGCATAAGGCCATTTGACCACTGAATACGGCTGCCCGAGGAAGGCAGCCTCAATACCCACTGTCCGGGGGTGGGGGGTGGGGGGTGGTCACTGGACAGGACTCTGAAGGCTCCCTGGCCACCCCGCACCCACCTCACCCAGGCTCCCAGCCCAGCTAACCTGTGTCTGTGGGAGATGCAAGGGGGGAGGTGACCCCCTGCTCTGGAAGACAGGTCCCGGGTCCCTGTGGCAGGGCCCCTTCCTGCTCCGACAGACCCTGCCCCATTAGGGAGCAGCCATGAGTCCTCGGCCAGTGAGGATGGCAGTGGGAAGCACACAATCCCCTGGCCTCCTCGAGAACAGAACCCACCTAGCTGTGCCCGCCACCCAGCGGGAGAAGATCCACAGTTTGCAGCCCTCGGTGGCTGGCCCCGGATCTGCCCAGGACCAAGGGGGGCCCAAGGGGGCTCAGAGCTTAAGGACTCCAGATCTTTCCTAGGGAGATGCGGTGGCATGGCTAGGGCCTGGGCCTTGCCCGGTGGCCTGGTGGTGGTCACGAGGCCTGGGGAGGAGGGACAGGGCAGTTCCCTACCCTTAGAGTGGCCTGGCCTGGATGCCGAGGGGCAGGGTGCTCCCACGCCATGGGAGCGTGTGAGTGTGAATGCGTGTGAGAGCACACTGGTCGTGCAAGAGTACATGGATGTGAGTGTTGACCAGTGAGAGCACTGTGTCCACATGAGTGTCCTTGTGAGTGTGCGTGGGTGTGTGTGCACGAGCGTGTGTGTCTGGTCGAGGACCAGGCAACAGAAGGAGCTGCAGGGGACTTACAAAGTAGATGTCCGTGGCAGGTGCATCCTCCTCATCCGAGGCCTGGCTGGCGGGCTCCGAGGCCTGGCTGGTGGTTTCTGCTTCGGCAGCGGCAGTGGCTGGGGAAGCCTCCACCCTGGGGACACGCCGACACAGGAGTCCTCAGGTGGGGCTCTGGACAGCACCCGTGGCCCCAGCCCCAGCTCACCTCCCGTCCTCTCATCAGGTCATCACAGAGACAAAAGACTCAGGAAGCCGAATAAAACAAACCCCCACCCCCAAATACCTCTGAGGCAAGGGTGGGGAGGATTTGCCCACCCACTAACAGGAGAGCCCTTACCCACCCCGGCTCAAGCGCACACACAGGTGGGCAGGTGCGCCTCACCACTCACCCCCTGGGTGACCCTGAAGGTCCTTTCCCATCGTTAAGCCTCAGTATCCTCATCTGTAAAGTAGGGACACCTGGCACCCACCCCCATGTTGGGGTCAGAACCTCTGTAATCTTCACTGAGTACTTACTATGTGCCAGGCCCTTTCAAGAGCCTGGCATGAATTCACCCAGCAACTCTCCCCTGGGGCGGGGGCTGCTGCTGTCCTGAGTTACAGACAGGAAACAGGCTCCAGATGGAAGGTGAGGCGAGGCCTAGGCCTCAGCTGGTGGCTGGGTGATTGGGGTACAACTTCCATCTCATGAGCAAAATGCCCAGCTCCGAAATGGGGGGGCACCTGTAACCACAGAGAGCTGGATCTCCAGCCGCGTGGGAGGGTGGGCTGTTTTGGGGGCAAAGACTGAAAGATGGGTCACACTGCACGTGCATCTGCGTATCTGTGATGTAATTCTTGATGGCAAAGTGCAGGCTGGGGGTGTGTGTATTACCACTAAGTAAGGTGTCTTGAGATAGAAGAGAAATTTTAAAAGCATGTAAAGGAGAAATCACAAGAGGAGCAAGAAAAATTTGATAACAATGCAAACACAGAACCAAACAGACCAAATGGGACCAACAAGTAAGGATGTAAAGCAACGGATCAATACACTGGACATGGCCAGGTCTGAATGTTCCATCCCTCAACAGAGAACACAGGTTTCTCCCACACGCCCACTGACATTAAAAAATGAATTTTGGGGTGCCTGGGTGGCTCAGTTGGTTAAGTGCCGTGATCCCAGGGTCCTGTGATGGAGCCCCACATTGGGCTCCCTGCTCAGTGGGGAGCCTGCTTCTCCCTCTGCCCCTCCCCCCAGCTTGTTCTCTCTCTCAAATAAATAAAATCTTTAAAAAAAATGAATTTTGTATTTGACCGTGAAGGCTTTGATCTGTTTTAAAAATATACATCCATTTTTAGGGGCGCCTGGGTGGCTCAGTCGTTAAGTGTCTGCCTTCGGCTCAGGTCATGATCCCAGGGTCCTGGGATCGAGCCCCGCATCGGGCTCCCTGCTCGGCGGGAAGCCTGCTTCTCCCTCTCCCACTCCCCCTGCTTGTGTTCCCTCTCTCGCTGTGTCTCTGTCAAATAAGTAAAATCCTTTAAAAAAATAAAATATACATCCACTTTTAAAGGCCACTTTCTTGAACTTGTAACTGAATAAAAATAGACATAAGTACTGAACACGTAAACAGGTCTTCAAATCCTGGGAAGTTGAGAGACACTTGTAAATAAACCCTAGAGCAGGGTCTCTCCCCCGTGGCACCATGGCGGGTGGGGCTAGACAGTTCTCTGCGGGGGTCCCGGGCGCTGGTGGGAGCGCGTCGCTCGCCCCACGCCCTCGGCGCCAGGAGCCCCCAGGGTCACAAGCGCAGGTGTCCCCAGAGGCTGAAGGCCACTGCTCTATATCAAAGAGCCGGTATAAAAGACCTGCCTCCCACTGAACCCACGAACACGGCCGGAGCGCAGGGCCGAGGACAGCAGCTGGAGCAAAAAAGGAGCCCGAACGTTCGACCTCCGCCGGAAAGGAAGGACCACGCACGGAGACCAACCAGAAGTTGGAAGGAAGGCATTAAGGACGAGTGGAAGTGAGTGACACAGGAACACAACACAGCTGGGAAAGGGGACTGCGTCCAGACCGCAAAGCCCCCTCCCGCAAGCCGGGGGATCCGGGCCACAGTGCGTGAGAACGCCGGGACTGACACATCACTTGCAGCTCTGCCGCAGATCAGAGGCCCTGATGAGGCAGCATCCCGGCCCCCAGCGGCCCCTGCGCAGACTGCCTGGTTCCCACGGCCTGCATCCCCACCTTTCCAGTGGGAGGCCCCATTCCCAGCCTCCCCCAGCCCCCACTCCCTGCCCAGAACGTGGACTACATTCCCCAGCCTGCCTTGCTGCCAGCTGGCCACGTGACCGCGCTCAGCCAATGAGATCAAAGCAGACGCACGCGCGCCAGTCTGGCAATAGGACGCTCACCCCGTGTCCTCCTCTTTGGGGACCACGATCTCCACGCTGCACGCGGGCTCCACCTGCACCGTGATCTGCTGCAGGTCCTCCTCCGCGTGTGTCTCCTCCTGAGGCCTGGAGGCAGTGGGAAGCTGCACCTCACTCTCTCCTCACCCTAACTCTGCCCCCCCAGGGGCGCCAGCCAAGCTCCAGGCCAGCGCAAATCTCCAGCCCTGCTGGGAGTCTCCATGGGGTGCTCTCTCTGGGTGCCATCTGACCAGTGCCCTAAGCTGGCCCAGCTCACTCCTGGTCCCTCGGGCGGTCATGCCCACCTGGGGTCTGCAAGGGGGCAAAGGCTGCCCACCTGGGGCCATCCTGTGACTCTGGTACCAGGAGGGGCATGTGTGAATGGTGGCCTGGATCCTGCCCACCCTCCTGGGGGTGGCTGGGCACTGGCCTGGGGGTGGGGTGGTTCCAGGGGTTTCAAAGGTCCAGGCCCCTGCTGTCAGTGGGTCAGAACATTCCGGCAGCCCGGCATGCAGACTCCGGATGGCAGCACTAGGGAGCAGAAAGGCCGCTGAGGCTGGAGCAGGCAGCAGGACAGAGGGAAGTGCATTCTGCCCAATGTGTTTTACGCTGTAAGGTTTTGGTTTTTTTTCAAATGGCAGTAATAATTGCCCCAACGCTAAGGGAGGCAACAAGGCCTATTCACTGTGGTCGAGTTGGCAACAACTGAAGAGCCCCGAGGGCAGGCTACGTTCTGTCAGACAGAAGGAAGCCTGCAGGCGCTCCACCTGCTCACAGATGACCTGTATCTGCTGAGTGCGCCAAGCAAGGGGCACCAAGCTGGGCTGGTGGCAAGACAAAAGGCAGAAACGGGCCCAGAGGTTTGTTTTCTTGTATATTCATAAAATATTTCTAGAAAGAGGAAAAAACCCGTCCAGGGGTTGCTCCCAGGGAGGGGAAGGGGCATGTGGCAGGGGGAGGTGTCTCACTATATTCTCTTTTGTACCTCTTAGAATAAAAATATTTAATAAAAAGAAAAAAGGATCAGCACGCAGGTGGAAGGACCTTCTGCCCGCCCCCGGGGTCTGTGTGTGGAGAAGAGTACAAAGTGACTCAAGATTCTGTGCAGTTCGAGAGCCTAACTTAAATCAGTGCCCAGGAAAGTGGTCAGAGAGGCGGAGCTCTGGGTGGGAAAGCGCAGGGGGTGCAAGAGGGGGAGGGGGGAAGGGCGGGGCCTTGCAGGGAGCCCGGACTGACGGCGGGGCAGCTGGGGGGGAAGCTGGGGTCTCAGCTCACCGGCCATCCTGTCCCGAAGACTGTGTGCGCCGCCTGCAGAGAGACCAAGCAGGTGGATGGGGGCGGGGGAGGCCGCCTGCCCCGCCCCTCCTAAGGATGTGCCCCCCGCCCCCGCCTCGCTGAAGGAGACAGCCCAGGCCCCTCACCGGTACCGCGGCTGCTCAGACGTCTCCGAGGGAGATCGCTCTGGGATGGAGAGAGACGTGGAGGACAGGGTAGTAGCGATGGAGGCGGTGGTGGCCTCCTCAAAAGATGGCGGCGTGCAGGGCAGGAGGTCGGGCCGACCTGTGGGGAGAGGGCTGTGGGCACCTGCGGCAGGCCTTCCAGGCCTCTGACTCCACTTGCAGCTTGGCTCACCTTCAGCAATCCAGGCCCCCGCCCCACCTGCCACCCAACACTCCATTCTGCTCGGCAGCTTTAAGAGGGCAAATACGTTCGAATTTACCCTCGGCACAAAGGCTTCCAATAGCCCCCTAGTCTCAAACTGAGATCCAAACCCTCCTCAGGCCCACAAGTCCTGCCAACCCGCCTGCTTCCTCTCTTCCCCGCCCCCTGACTTTTCTCCAACCACACAGGCCTCCTGCTGTCCCTCCAACATACCAGGCCCTGTTCTGCCCCAGAGCCTTTGCACCTGCAGTTTCTCCCTTCCTGGATGCTATTCCCCCCTCCCCAGCCCCTATCTGTAATCTTGGACTCTTTAACCTTGGGAACTGGGAGGGACCTTCCAAAACATCATGCCCAACCCCATCAAGTGCTTCCTTCCTCTAGGTCTCTGGACATCTGGTGATGGGTGGGTCACCTCTTCAGGTGGCACCTTCTCTGCTCAGCTCTCCCTGTGACAGTCCCAGCTGCTCCCCCTCCCAGGACGGCTGCAGACCTTGGGCTGGGATGGGGGGTGACTGTGACCCAGGCCCCTCCCACCCAGGTCGCCAGCTTCAGGAAACCCTTCCTTACACTGGGTTGCTGTGTGCCCTCCCCTCTCAGCCCCCCAGGGACATCACCTTTCCCCAGGAGCCCCCTTCTCTCTCCTGTCACCAAAGCACCCACTCCCCAGCCTGCCTGGTCACCTTCATCTTCCAGTGTGGGGTAGCTGCGGGCCCCCCGGAGGTCGTATTGTGCGTCCTCCCGCTCGCTGGGGATCTGGCTGGCCGAGAAGGCAGCTGTGGGCCCCAGGGGCTTGACGGCCAGCAAGGCACCACGGCCCTTCTTGGATGGCGAGGATTTCAGGGCTGCGGAGAGAGGGAGACTGGCGCTTGGGGCAGCCTGGGGGCCCCGTGGCAGCACCGAGGCAGGGCCGCACCAGCCCCTATCCCTCCTTTGCTCAGTAGCCTGGTCGGCCCCGCTTGAGGCTTGCCACCTGCACACACGGCCCCCGTTGCCTGGCCTTCAGCCCGGCCCTCAAGCCTGGGCAAGAAGCAATATTCTTTGCAAAGAAAACCCTGTCCTGCTTTCTACCCAGCTCTGCCTCCGGAGGTCCCAGGAGCCCCCTTTGTTGCAGCCCACCTTGGCCATGGCCTCCACTTTGAGACAAGGAACTGGAGGCCTTGGGCCATGTGGGGCTCAGCACCAAGGGCCTGGCTCCGATCCAGGATGAGTGGCCTGGGAAATGAGGGTCAGCCCCTCTGAACCCTAGCATCCTCATCTGTAGCAACAGGGTCAGACAAGGCGGGTAGACCCCATGGTGCCCTCTGCACCCAGCCTCGCCTGTCGGCGACCATCACCATGTCCTCCCTGCTCTTCCTGTGAACTCTGCCCCCAGGATGGCTAGCACAACACCCAGCATACAGTAGGTGCTCAGTTCGCCTCGTGAGCAGCCCTCCGGTCCCTGGAGGCTGGCATCCCCTCTGGACCAGTGAGAATGATGCCCCGGGAAAGGTTCTAAGAAGTGGTATGCTGATAAAGATGAACAAGTCGCTCTCAGGAGACAAAGGCCAGAATTGTGGTGTTTGCCAATTTCCACCATGTAAATAATCCCACTGCCATCGACTTCAAGCTACTGGCTCAATGTCAGGGAATGTGGAGTCGTGCTGGCTCCACGAGCCAGCTCTGGGTGACCGGGCTGGGTTGCCGCCCACACAGGCCTGGCCCAGTCTGGGAGAGCATGTTGCACGCCGGGCAGTGGGTCTGCCTGCCCCTGCTGCCTCTGTGGACCCACCTCCTGCGGTGTGGAGCCCGGAGAATAAGGTGCACACTGAGACCATTCCCACGAATGACACTGACTGAACACCTACTGCGTGCTGAGCCCCAGGCTAGACGCTGGGGACACGGAGTGACCAAGCACGCTGCCTTCTGGGCGCACAGGGAACAGGGTGCAGGTGGCAGACAGACACGTGGGGACAAAGACCCTTCCAGGCAGCATGTGGGGTCCTGGCCCCGGGGTGTGCACCAGGGTCTGGGACTTGAGGCCCAGCACAGACAGGGGACCTCCCGAGGCCACCCAGGGCTGCCTCTGTTTGTCCTGTGCCCTCCTTGACAATGCCCGGTCTGGCTGATACCCGGCTGCCTCCGTGTCCGCCAAGGCCGTGTTTCCTTGGTGAGGACACGAGGCTGCAGGTGGCCCCCCTTGAGGACAGATGCAGGGCCGAATGCACCTCTTGTGTGTGTAAACACATCTTGCCCTCACAGCTCTGTACAGATGGGGAAACTGAAGCATGGAGCAGGGCGACCCCGCTTGAGGTCACACAGGCAGGACGCAGTGGAGCCCGAACTGAAGCTCGGACAGCGTGCTCTAGGCCCCGTGCTGGGCCCCAAGACAGTGGCGTCCTGACTCCCGTTCTCTGGACCAAGACCCTGACCGAGGCCCATGGATGGCCACGTGGCAGGAGGAGGGGCTCTGGGTTTACCCCGCTCTTGGCAACCCCACTTCCCCGCTCAGCACCCCCGGGGCCCTCCTGCCCAGAGGGCCTGGGAAGCTCACAGGAATTCTTCCGGAAGACCGTGTTGCTCATGAACTTGAAGAAGCGTTCCGCGTAGAAGCTGGGCCGGTGGACAGACACAGTGTCCTGGGGAGAGAAGCGGGGCCCGCAGGCAACAAGGGCTGAGTGCCGCCGCACCACCAGCGCCCCCCGTGTCCCGCAGGTCAGCCCGGGCCACACAGCGGCAGTGGGACAGGGAGATGGGTCCGTGGCACAGGGCGGGCAGGAAGGACATAACTGGTAGGGAGGGGCCTGGGAGGGACATTCCTTCATTATAAACTCATCTGTATTTTTAATCCTTTGAACCTCGTGACTCAAACAGCAATTCAAAGGAGTAAACGAATAAATATCAAAATTAGGAAACCAGAAGAGTTCTCTAAAGCAGGGCTCAGAGAAGGACGGCTGCACATCTGTACTGTAAGTAACGTTTGGTGGCACTCAGCTACACCTGCTCTGGGGACAAGAGCAGCTGGTGTTGACTGGGAGCCAGGCAGCCCTCACCGGATGGTGACCCCGGGCAACGCACGGCCTCTCTCAGAGCTGTTTCCTCATCTGTGCGACAGGGAGGCTGGACGGGGCTACGCGTGCCGTCCGTATGGGAGGGGGCCCAGCACCCTTGGTGTTCCTGCGATGTTGGGTCCCTAAAGGCGGGGACTCGCTACTCCCCACGGTCCAGGGGCCTCGCCTTCTATGGCAGTCTCCCCTCGGCACGGCGGACACCATCCCGGGCACTGGGAGGCTGAGCAGCGTCCCTCCCCCACCCCCTCGGTGCCAGGAGCTCCCCCAGGGGTGATGACCACAGACGTCCCCAGACATGGCCCGGGTCCTCCGCCTGCTGTAATGTAACAGAACCCGTGGGGACACACAGCCCCCAGAATGCAAACTACATTTCCCATCCTCACTGCAACAAGGCATGACCGCAGGACCATGTTCTGGCGGAGGGCATGGGAGCCAAGGGAGGGACAGAGTTTCCGCCCTCTCCTCTGTCTGGAGTGCTGTGGTGGGCCAGCCACCTGGGCTGGGGGCCGAGGGCCATGCCCACAAGAACCTGGGCTTCTACCCCACAGGCCACCCTACCTGCCCCAGACTGCTCATGCCTGTATGGTTACTTTGATCAACATCTGGGCCCCCAGGAGCTGAGCCAAAGCTTACTTTGGAGATTACAAGTGGCCTCACCAGGACCTGGCAACTCTCCCGTCTGCCACGGCTTTCTAACACCACGAAAGGGCTTCCTGCTGACTGGCTGCCCCCTGGACCTTCTTGGTGCACTTTCTGGAAGCTTCCATGTGAACCCTCCAAACACTCTGAGGGGTGTCAGGGGCTCTTACAGACTATGTGAACGCAGAGAGCCCTTAGCGCTTTAGTAAGAATTGGTCTGAAGGGGGCCATGGGAGGGGAGGCATGCATCTGAGGCCCCAGCCAGCTCATCAGCACAGCTGGACCAGGGCTGCCTGGGGCCCCCAGGTGGGCTGTGGCTCCCCAACAGTTGGTCCTCACAGTCTTTTATATTTGGAAAGAATATATTTGGCAGCGTTGACAGGAAGAAGCACATTCCAAGCTATTCTCAAGCAAAGGAGACGTCTTGGAGCAAGCCACACCCCTCGCGGCAATGGGTCAGTGCTGCGCAGTTGGACCCATATGACCCCCTCCATATCGCAGCACATTTCCAGCACATTCTTTGCCTAGCTGGCCCCTGACTTTCCTGGTCAGGCTGTCCTTGGGGATCCTTCCAACTCAGCTTGGGGGTCCTCTCCTCCAAGAAGCCTTTCTGTACCCCTCACCAGTGGAGATCAGACCCCTCACTAGAGAGCCTACAGCCAGCTGCCTGTGCTTTCCCGTCTTGACCCTGACCCCCTGGCCTGTGACTGCCGGATCACAGGGCTGCCCTCATTAGATGGTGACTCCAGGAAGGAGGGAACACGTCTCTCGTCACGGCCCCGGGAGATCATTACATTTATAGACTAATGAACAAATGAACGCTGCTCACCCCATCATGGACGAGAGCCTTCCAAGTATGTTCCAGCTTCTTGATGAACCTTCAGAGAGAAGAAAGAACTGAACACCTGCCAAACTTTCGGGTCCAGGAGACACTGGGCCATGTCTGGGGACATTTGTGGTCATCACGACTGGGGGTGCTCCTGGCACCGAGTGGGTGGGGGAGCCCCCGTCTAGAGGAACTGAGGCTACCTGCTGCACCAGCCAGAGGCCACCTCCCTCTTCCTGTCCCCTTTGTCCCCCTCCCGGCCTGCTGGCAGCTCTACCACGGCTACTCTTGGAGAGGAACTGAAAAGGCCACGGTGCTTGACCCCTGTGGGGGCTCACGGCCAGCACCTCCCAGAGTACATCCTTCCCCTGTTGTCATGGCCTAAGCTGAGCCCTGGTCCTCTCAACTGGAATTACTGCCCAGCACTGTGGCTCTAACTAGGCCCTTGCACACCTGGATTGGGGACAATGGTGCCTCCTCCAGGCAGCCTTCCTGGACACCCCCTAGTCCGCAGTGGGGGAGGGTCCTCTCCTCAGCACACACCCGCTTATGACACCCCCAGCCCCTGGATGAGCTTGTCGTTGCCTGATACGTGCTGGCCCACCCTCCTTGCCTCGGCTTAGTCTCTGCAGAAACCCTGGTTCGCTGTTTCAAAGGCTTCTTATCCTGCTTTAAATCAAGAGGGACATCCCTGTAGCAGAGGTTTGCCCTCAGGTAGGGAAACAGGCTGCGAATATTAGCGTCTGATGAGCAGGAGCTGAGTTTTGTATTTGGGAAAGAAAGACACGCAAGAAGAAATCACCCAGTGCCCAGTGGGCTTCCTGAGAGGGTAGACGGGAAGTGGGGACCGCCATGCCCACAGTGCCCTCTCCGTCCTGTCCGGATCGTGCATGAGGAACATACAGGACTCTCAGGACAAAACACTAACGATTAAGACACGCTCACTGCCGAAACCTCGTAAAGGACAAGCATGGGCACCAGGGTTGCCGACACCGCAGCTCTAAGCTGCGGGTAAGGCCTGAGTATCTGTTCCTTGGGCTCTGCCACACTCGAGACCACACAACACATGGCTCCAGCCACGAGCGTTTATTCCTGCCCACCGGATGAGCTGTCCAGGGATGTCATGCCTCCTGGCCATGGGGTGCTTCTGTCTTGCTCTGTTTAGCCCAGCGCTTGGCACACAGTAGGTGCTCAACAGACTGGGCCGGATGGAAGATGAGCTGGCGACACCGCGCCCACCCCCAAGCCCCAGGCCAGCCTCAGCCTCTGTCCGACGGGAGCTCTCACCATGTTCCTAGCACAAATCCTGATGAAGGTGGCGTCACCAGGTTGGGGACCAAATGCCTCCCTTTAGGGCCGGGCAGCCAGTTGGGAGCCTTTGGCGGGGGGGACAGGGGGGCTGGGACTAAGGGAGTCTTGACAGCAGAGGGCACACTGCTGCTGTGAGCACGGGGGTGCGTCTGGGGAGGGGGGAGGCGGGCGGGGGGAGATGGGGGAGGAGAGGAGAGGGAGGCGGGGCGGGCTCCCACCTGTAGGACTGCAGAATATCAATGATGCCGATATGCAGCAGCAGACGCTCCCCTCGGCCGTTCACGGCGGGAATCCCGCCCATCCTGGGGAGAGAGGGGGCGAGCGCCTTCAGCGCCCCACCAGCAGCGCCCCACGACTGCCCTGCCAGGAGCCCCCGCCCACATGCTCCCTGCAGGTGGCGGCGCGGCTGGGACCGGGCCGCTCTCCACTCCTCTTGGGCACTCCACTCGAAGCCGGAGGCGGCCGAAGGGCCCAGCACCCACATGCCCCCATGCACGCCCATGCACACGCTCAGCCCGGGCAGGGCCACCAGGGCTTCTGGGTGCCGTCTGGGGAGTTAGTGGCTTCACTCGGCCCCAGGCCCACCCGTGCCCAGCCCAGCACAGTTAGTGAGGTCACACAAGGCAGTGACTGTCCTCAGGTCACCAACGACCCCAGAGCCGCCAGGCCCAGGCCCCCGCAGGCTCTGCTCACAGCACTCACGGCACTCAGGTGCTGGGCTCACCTGCGCACCCCGCCATCCCCTGCCAGGCCCCGCGCGGACCCTACAAACACCAAGACGGTGGGAGGTCGGGCCAGCCGCACCAGGCCTTTGCGGCTCCCGCGTCTGCCTGGTGGAGGCTGGGGCTGCTCCTTCCCTGGCCCCCGCAGCTGCTGGCCTCGTGTGGTGGCCAGGCCAGGGGCAAGCCTCGGCCTCACCAGCTGGCCGTGCACCCAGGACAGCTGCTTCCACCTCTGAGCCCATTTCCCCAGCGGATGAGGGGAGGTCATTACCCCCCCCCCCCAGCCACCTCTCCCCGCCGTCCTGCTTCCCAACAGGTCAGTGTGTGGTGACAAGAAGTCAATCTCGGGCGCCTGGGTGGCTCAGTTGGTTAAGCGACTGCCTTCAGCTCAGGTCATGATCCTGGAGTCCCGGAATCGAGTCCCGCATCAGGCTCCCTGCTCGGCAGGGAGTCTGCTTCTCCCTCTGACCCTCCCCCCTCTCATGTGCTTTCTCTCTCTCTCTCATTCTCTCTCTCTCAAATAAACAAACAAAATCTTAAAAAAAAAAAAAGTCAATCTCGGCACAGTTCCCACCGGACTGCCTTCTACAAGCACTGGACAATGTCCGGGGACATTTGTGGTCCTCACGACTGGGGGGTCTCCTGGCATCGAGTGGGTGGGGGCCAGGGATGCTGCTCGGCCCCCCAGGGCCCAGGACGCCCCCACAGAGAACAACCCGGCCTGGTGTCCGCAGTGCAGGGAGGGTGGGAGGGGGCGCCCCATGAGTCTGTCTCCCCACCAAACTTCGAGCCCCCGCGGCAGGACGGGTCAGCCCGCTGTCTCTGAGCCTAGGACCCCGTCCTCCATCACGGCAGCCTGTTCTCCCGGGGGCTCTGGGTCCGGCACCACCACCACCTTCAGCACCTTTCCGGCTTCGCTGCGGATGGTGGTGCCTGAGCCCGTCTGGGGCTCCAGTGGGAGGAGCGAACACCTGCGTTTCCCACACAGATGGCCAACGGCCTCAATCCGCTGGCAGATTAATCCAGAAGGCCCTGGTCATCACACACGAGCCGGGATTCTGTGTGTCCACCCGTGTGACCCTCGTGGGGTCTGGCGGGCAGGCGCTACCACTCTAGTGCAAACCAGGAAGCGGCCGCAGATGGTCTCCTGCCCTCCTGGCCAAACCCCCAGCCCCGCCTGCCTCACACCTGGCAAGGGATACGGACGGACAAGCCGGAAGCCCCACTGGCCCCGTGCCACCTACGTGTCATCCGACTCGATGGCCTCCCCGCGTGCAGCCCCGCCCTGGATGGACTCCATGGCCGTGGAGTAGAGCGCCTTCTGCCCTAGCGGCCGCTTCTCGTCCGCGGTGCTCTGGGCGCCCTCGGCCTGCCGCTCGCGCTCCTGCTGGTCGATGTTGTGCACGCCCAGGAGCAGGCTGTAGTCCATGATCTTGAAGCTCTCCAGCACCTGCCAGAGGTGGGGCCAAGAGATCACGCTCTCCGTCCCCCTTCTCACACCCAGCCCGGTGCGCCCCCAAGCTGCATCTGGGTCTGTGCCCACTCAGTCCCCACAGCCCCACGGGGGCCTGTCCTAACCCCCGTTTCACACGTGGTCAGGAGACCAAGGGGCTGGGGCTGGGACAGGGCGTTTCCTTCCTCCCAACAGAGCTCCTGCCTGCCTGGCGACAGCTGGGGAGCCCAGGACCCCTCCTGGCCCCAAGGGCTCTGACACCTGGGCTCAGGGAAGCAGGTCCTGAGAGGTCTGGGGGAGGCCTGGGAGCCAGGGGTGGTGGGCCGAAGGACCAGAGGATGGAGCAGAGAGCTCTGGAAGGCCTGGGATGCCCCTCATCTCCAGAGGAGCAGGCACGACACCCCCCAGGCTGCAGGGGTGGGGGAGACGACAAGGACACGCCGACAAGATGGGCCATGGATCTGGAGCTCACACGGCGCTCGCTTCCTCCAGTGTCCCCGTGTTACAGAGGGGATGACGGAGGCTCAGAGGGACGAGGGCCCCTGGGCCCCCCGCACTCGGCCCCGGGCCCTCCTGTGCACGGGGGTCGGCGTGGGCACCACGGCCTCACCAGGCAGTCCCTCTGCAGCGTCTTGACGAGCGCAGAGAAGGTGTCTGCGTCGAGCAGAAGCCCCTCGGGCATGTCCTGGATGAAGTCCAGGTCCTTGTAGGTGGGGATGCTCTTCTCCTTCTCCTTCTTGCTGGCCCGCCGCTTGTACGTGGAGCCCTTGAGGTCGAACTTGAGGTGCATCTTGACGACGCGCGGCAGGATATTGTTCATGACCACCACGCGGATGTTCTTGCCGCCTGACTGCACGCAGTACAGCCCGTAGAACTTGGGCAACAGCGTCCTCGGGTTCTGGTTGAGGTTCTGGGGGGCGGGGGAGGGGACAGGGTCAGAGGAGTGGCCACTGCGGCCACCACGCTCTGCCCAGGAGCCGCCCTCGGGAAGCCCTCCCTGACCACCTCCCTCCCGGGCCGGCCCTCACTCTGCCCTCCCAGCATCCTGATGTGAGCCGGGATCTGTCTCCCCCGAGATGAGATGCTCCAGGAGGTCCACGGTGAGGTGTCAGGGCCAGACCAGCTGTCCACCTACCCGCCCTGGGGTGACATGGGGGCCCGGCCTCCAGACACCGTCCAGGGCAAGGACCAGCAAACTCTGGCTGGAAGGCCAAGTGCAACCACTTGCTTGTTTTCATGCAGCCGGCCGCAAACTAAGAACGGCTTTACGTTATGAAAACGGGGGGAAAAAGCAGAAAACTAGCATCTTGTGACACATAAGGATTCGTGAAGTTCGCATTTCAGTGTCAGTGAGTGAAGGGTCCCTGGCGCTGGGCCACGCCTGCCCTCTCCCTCGAGGCCCGCGGGGGCCTTCCTGCTGCAACAGCAGGGCTGAGCTGGGCAGGGAGAGGCTGCCGACCACCGACCCAGGGGAGCCGGGGGCCCACCCAAGCATCATGCGCTAGGATGAGACGCCCCAAGTGCAGATGGGTCACGATCCATGCAGAGCTGCCCAGAAATGCCCCGCCCACCCCCGCCAGTGCCAGGTCAGGCTCAGCAGGGCAGGTGGGCACTCAGGTGGAGTCCACCCCCGTCAGTGCCAGCAGCAGGACCCTGGCTGGCTGGGGGACGGAAGTGTGAGGCTCCCGCGTCCACCTCCGCCCAGGAGTCTGTCGTGCCCTTTCAAGTGGTGAGTCACATGGGGAACGGGAAGATCCCCACGCCAGCTGGTGGCCCGGCCCCCCTCCCCCACGCCTGAGTCACCAGCTACCAAGACACGAGCCCACGAGACACGATTTCTGGGATCCGTGACTCAGGGGTGTTGGCGGGGGCAGGGATGGGCAGGGAGGATGGAGCGGGTGCCCAGCCCCCCAGGCCCCCACGCCCCACCCCGCCCGGGGAAGGCCACTCGGGCCCAGATGGCCATTCCTGCCTGCCGTGTGCAGAGGGCACCACGTGAGGGGCACCCTGAGGGTGAGGTTCAGTGATCCAGCAAGGCTCTCCAGGGTGTGCCGGAGGCGGGGTGGTGCCCGGGGGCTCCTGCCCCTCCAGCCGAGCCCCGGAAGGGGAGGAGCTGGGGGAAGGGGAGGAGCTGGGGGCGGGGAGGACTGCGAGCCCCGGGAGGGGGCGCGCTGCAGGGAAGGGCCCCTCACCATGTAGTAGCCGGGCAGCAGCTTCTGCAGGAACTCGGCCTCCTTGTGCATCACTGTCTTGATGATGAACTCGTCGTCACTGGTGACGTAGAACAGGGAGCCGCTGGCGCCAGGGTTGGACAGCTCGATCAGTGGCTCGTTGCACAGCGAGTACTGGGGGGGCAGTGAGTGGGCAGGTGGGTCGCTGACACCCCACGGGCCCAGCAGCTAGTGGGCAACTCTGGAACAGGTCACTGTCAGCGTCCTTTTACAGATGAAGAAACAGGCTCAGAGAGGGAGACTGTCGTGCCCGAGGCCACACAGCACAGATTCGAACCCGGGCTAACCAGCAGCCTGGGTGCTGATCTCCTAGGGCCCAGTCCCTCTCCTGTTAGTAACAGACTCCCAGCTGTGTTGGGGCCCTGACACATCTGGCCACCGCTCCCTTCCCAACCCCCCCACAGCTAGGTGAGGTCACAACAGTCAACTCTGGCTCCCGAGCCGTCTACAGAAGCTTCTGTCTCCCTAAATAGGTGACAAAAGCTGGTGCCCCTTGAGTTTGTGCCCTTCTCTCCATCCCATGTCTTTCCACCTGGAACGATGATGTAAGAGCTGGAACCCCAATCGCTATTCTGGGCCAGAAGGTGACCTTTAGTACGGAGGCCACGCACCAGAACAGCAGAGAGAGGGGGACCTCCGTCTCGGGGGAGCAGCCCCCACCCTGGCACCTGGCACCCCCACCTCTCTTCCCATTGAGCTCTGCTTCACCTCCGTGCTTGCTACCCAGCAGCCCCACACGCCCTCCCCACCGACAGACGGGACCTTCTGTGGATGCAGGGATTTCTATGGGTTTTGTTCACGGAGGGTCCCAGCACCTCGGACAGTGCCCAGCCTAGCGTGGAAAGCTAGGCCCTGCAGGGTGCTCTCCCCAGGCCTTTTCAGCTAGCAAGCCAGCGAAGTGCTTTTCAGGACTAAGGCTGTCTGCGTTGGGTTTCTGTCCCCTGCAGCCCCCAGAGTCCTGAGTACCACTGGTATACAGCATGGATGAGGCCACAGCATGTCCCCCACTGGACTGAGGGTGCCAGCCCGCCACACGGTAAGTGCTGAGCAAATGTTTGCTGAATGACCCTGTGGGTTGCTGAAGTGTAACACAGGGGCTGGCAGGTGGCAGGGGAGGGGGAACACAGGTGAGGGGCAGGGATGCCCCCTCTCCCGTGGGTGCCACGAGGGCTGCCCACCCACAGCCACGAGCCACCAATACCCACGGAAACACAGAGGCCCACGCCCAGGCTGCCCGTGCTCTCCCTCCTCACCTCCCGCCTGCTCCTAGGACAGCAGCAAGGGGCGGGCAGGGACCCCGTGGGGGCCGGGGCCCATGGCCTCCAGAGCCCACAGCTACCCCCCCCAGCACTACAGCTGAGCCCAGCTAGCAGGAGAGGGGGAGAGTGCGGAGAGAAACGAGCGGTGGACGGGGAGTGTGTGGCTTTGTACAAAAGAAGTCTATGAGCAGAGAATGTCCCAGAACCACATGGCTAACAGCAGCTGCCCTCACGTATGGGGTCAGGCCTCACGGGGCCCGGGCTGCCAAGGGAGAAGCAGTGACATGCACAGACCTCCCGGCCGGGTGACCAGCCGCCGGGGTGGGGTCACCGGCAGACAACCCCAGGTGTGCCCCTTCTTCCTCAGAGCCCAGGGGGGCACATGTGGTCTGAGGTCAACTGACTGCAGCCCCCACCCTACCCGTGCCCCCCCCCAGAACCCCCCCACTGCCAAGCTGAAGCTAACACAGGACAGCCCAGGGCCCTCACAAACAGGGACAGTGGGCGCGCCCCCACAAAACTCAGGACCAGGGAAGTCTCTGGAGGCCAAGGCGGTGCCCCTGGCCCCCCAGGGACCCCTGGGGAAGAAAGAGGAACCCCGAGGGGGCAGAGCTGACAAGCGGGGACAATCCAGCCGCGTCCGAGTTCCCCAGCCCTGCCACGGGAGGGCCTCTCGGTTCCGGGGGGCCTCGTCACCCTGCCATGGCATCAAGGAGGGTCTTAAGAGGACAGAGGACACCTGCTGAGCACCCACTCGAGGCCGAGACAGGACCTCGGCCATCTCCGTGTGTCCACTCTGGGGCCAGCACACGCCAGCTAAGGGACCTGAGGCCATATCGCCACTGCTTCGGCTAATACCACAGGCGTCCATTCTTCCCACGAGACCTAAAATCGAGGTCTCCCCAGGGTTGTTTCCACTCTAGAACCATCAGGCTGTCCTCACTCCGATAAGGTTGCAGGACCCCAGGGAAGGTCAGAGAGGGAAGCCGTGAAGCCCGCCACAGATGCTGTGGTCAGAGGACCTGGCCTTGGCCTTGGCAAGGGGCACCCGGACAGCTGGAGAACCCCTGGCCGGAGCGAGAGCTACTTCCCTGTGGAAGGACACGGCCACGGCTGAGGGCACAGGGCTCCGTGGACCAAGTGGGCGCGCGCAGCCGGACCTCCCAGCACACAGGGAAACGAGTCACTGCGGGTGAGAATTAGCAGGAGCACGGCCCCAGGGACGGCAGACGGTGGCGGGGTCGGGTGGAATAGATCCGCCGGCTACGGACGTGCTCTCGTGCAAGGGCTAAGCCTTCCCGAATACAAAGTCGCCAAACAGCCACCAGACCACCCGGAAGTGCAGACCGATCCCCGTCTGCCCACGCGCTCTAACTCTCAGGACCCCACTCATGCGCTGTGAGATCAGAGGGTAGGCCTAGGTTTTGATTTTTCTGATTTGAGAGACTAAGACTCCACCAGAGGGGAGAACTGGAGGGGACGCGCTGAGCTGGTCCCCACGACCCACCTCCCCTCGCATGGAGGCGGGACCTGTGATGTGGCAGAGGTGACAGGACAGTCCTCTCATTCACGCTCCGAGGAAGAGCCCCCGGGCAAGGAACAGGGTCCCGCCAATGACATGGGCTCGGAAGCTGACCATCCCCCGGGCTGGTCCCCGAGGGTCCGGCCCCAGCCCACCCTCCACCACCACGCTGGGCAAAGAAGCCGGCCGAGTGGCCCCCAAATTCCCGACCCACAGAAACCACGAGGAAGCAGACACACGTGTCTCTGGCAACTTGACCCGCGGCACTAGCCGACCGACCACGGCTCTTACCAAGTAATCATCCGGCCGGATCCCGAAGAGCTCCCGGAAGTAGCGGAAGGCGACGGGGGCGTAGGTCTTGAACCTGAAGTCCTGGAAGTGGTGGGCGGGGGTGAGGTTGCTGCCTTCGCTGTGGAGCAGGGAGGGAGGGAGGCCGGTGAGGGACGGCGACTCTGGGCGCCTCTCCCACTCCCCGCGGCCCCCAGCGGCACAACCTGCCCAGGGCAGCGCCCAGCAGCTGAGCTCCCAGGCCGTCCCTCGGTGGGCAACCCCTGGGCTCTCCGGGGCCAAAGGGCGTGGCCGGTCTCGGGTGTGTCCCAACGTCCACTCCCGCCTCTCTGGCAGCTAGGTGTGGTCACGTGACTGCTCAGCCAATGAGCCACGGGCAGGGCAGAAACAACACACGTCATTTCCAGGTCCTGCCCTTAGCGGTCCTGTGCTCCCCTTCTCCTTTCCCTCCTGCGGGTGGAACGCAGATGTGATGGCAGGATCCCAGGCAGCCACCTGACAGCACTGGCTGGATGAGCTGCACATGAGGATGGCGGAGCCACTAGAAGGAACATGGGACCCCCAACACCAGGGAGCTGCCTCACTGGATTGCCAAGCAGTGCTCTTCACGTGAGAGAAAAAGAAACTTTACGTTTTCTTAAAATTGCTGTTATACTACATCTATCTGATTCGGCAAACAACCAATAGCGTGACTGATACGAGGTAAGACCTCCAAGCCAACATGGCAGGAGAGGCCTGTGCCATTTCCAGCAGAGAAGGGAACTCGGAGAACAGCAAGGCTGTCGGGCACCCAACAGCAGCTCCGTGGCACAGGGCCTGGGCCTACCTGGGGAAGAAGATGCTCTCCACGACGTAGAAGTCTTGCATGAGCACGTCACGCTCTGGCTTGGAGCTCAGATTGCCCACAGTGTAGCCGATACCCAGCTGAATGGCCCCCTTCAGGGTGGAGGAGGTGGTCTGCGGGAAAACCCAGCTGCATCAAGACCCTTGGCCCCCAGGGTGACAGGCAAAAGGAGAAGCCCCCCAGGGCAGGAGGTCGGGGCACATGTCCAGCCTGCAGCTTGACCCTGTGACCCGTCAACATCACAGGGCTCCGGGGTGCCTGCCCAGTACTTGTCACAGACCTGTTGGCCTCTGGTTTGTCACTGAGCTCACACAACCACACAGCAAGGAAGTGGCCTGAGACTCCAACCCCACCTTGTGCAGTCCCCAGGCCTGTTTTCCATCAAGGTTCTAGAAGGTTCCAACTTCTCAAAACTGTCCCGACTCAGCTGGGGTCTGTCTACTGTCAGGATTTTCTTTGGGGGGGGGGGCACATAAATTTGCATAATGACACCTGAACTTCATTTCTGTAACCCCAGGTTCCTTCTACCCACTCTCCCGGTGATTTGCATTGTCACACTGGGCGGGCGACACCGCTGCTCCGTGCCTCAGTTTCCCCACCCATAGTTGGGCATGGAGATGGCGGTACCGGCCATCCTGGGGCTGCCAGGCATCATATGGCCTAAGCTGCCTGGGCTGAAGCCTGCCCCCGTTTAAGAAGGAGAGGATGGGAGTGACAGCGAATGGGGACGGGGCGTAATTCTGGGCTCATGGACATATTCTAAAACTGACCGTGGGGATAGCTGGACATACTGTGAACACGCTAGGAACCACCTAACTTGGAAAGGATGAATTACACGGTGCACCCATGACCTCTCAGCCAGCTGCTACGTTAGGAAGTGCTCCCCACACAGTGCCTGGCCTGGCCTCATTCGGGCTTCCCATCAGCTCAGCCCCGCTTTCCAAAGGAAGGAAGGAGAACTGCATCTCCCTGTTCCTCCCAGGAGCCAGCAAGGCTGGAGGAGCCGGGGCTCGGCCAGGGGTGCCGGGGACGCCTGTGATGTCCGCGACAGGCGTCCAGGACCTCGCTGGGACTGGGGGCCTGCATGGAGGGGCCTGTCCTGAGAGCATCTGCCTCCAGCCAACCACAGACACAGAGCATGCCCGAGCCTGTGGGGGCCCAGGACGGCTGGAAGCCCCACCCCAGCCAGCTAAGGGCAGAAGAGAACCTTCTTGTAGGTGGTTTCGCCAGAGGCGTCCACGCCCCGATGACCCAACTTCTTCCCGTGGCCAGGACCCGGCTGTCCAGTCATCAACGGGGCCTGCAGAGAAGGAAGCAGGAAGCACTGAAAATCAGCAAGGAGGCACCGCTGGCCCAGAGTTCTCTGGAAATCCTGACCAGACGGGCTGAGTCACAGTGTCGTGACAAGGCACGTGGGGCAGAGGCGGGCTCCAGGGCAGAGCAGGTGGCCTGTCACCCGCAGGGGCCACACGGTCCAACCCTGCACATCCAGAAGGGCCCACACCCTTCTTCTGGCTCCTCGAGGAAAGCAGGGAGGTCGGCACTTACAGCCCTCCTGTGTGCATGGGGAGCAGGACCCTAGTTTCAGGGGGCTCCCCTGGCACGGCTGACACTGGGCTGGGTCATTCCCTATGGCCCCCACCCCTCGGCGCAGCCTTCCCCGTCATGACAACCACAGATGTCCCCAGACATCACACAGTGTCCCCTTGGGCGGAGTCGCCGGCTGAGACCCCTGGGCTGGAATGACTGTGAACTGAGGGGAGAGGTCCCCCTGGCCTGGGTCCTCCAGGGGGACAGCCACGGCAGGCGTGACAAACTTGTGTGAGGAAGTGGCGGAAGGGGCCCCGGCTCGAGGCCCAGGCCGGCCAGCAGAGGGAGCTGGTGCCCCTCCCAGGGCCAGACTGTCCCAGACATTCAAACATCTCCCGCACACCCGCCACCATCCACAGAGTCCGTGCAGCCCTTCCAGCCTCCAGCTGAGGGTGCTCAGACCAGCCAGACCCACACGGCCTCACTGCCCCACGCAGGGGTCCGGGCAGCCCTCCAATGCCCCACCAGCCCTCTCCCCTCAGCTCGGCTGCCGTGCGTTCTGCACACTGGCCACCAGGGGGCGGGCTCTCCCCAGCAATCAGAAGGCACCACCCCTGCTCCGCACCCCTCGCTGACTCCCCACTGCCGTGTGGCCGGACACCCTCCAGGAAAGCCCTCCCCACAAGGGCCCCACGTGGTGGTGGCATCCAGGGCACACGCACGCCTTGGGCCGGGCGGCCAGCGCAGGCACAGGGACGCCACACCTGGGCTCCTGGAACGCGGGGCTCACAGACACGCTCCCGCAGACCCTTTCAGGACCAGGGACAGTGCCGACCCCCACCTGCGCTACCGGAGCGAGCGGGAGGGCAGCCCGGGGCCCACACGGGGTGTGGAGGCGCAGCACGAGGGCCCCCCCCTCCCGGGGAAGCTCTCTGGAACACGATGGGCAGACATGGGCAGGTGTGTGGGGACCCGGGGTGCTGCACGAAGGTGCTACTCATCACGCACTGGGCACTGCCCTGCGGCAGCATCTGACCCGGTCCCCCTCCTCCTGGGAACTCCCCAGGGACCCACACTTGCCTGGCTTCCGTCCCACCTCTCCGGCCCCTCAGTCTCCTGTCCCTCTGTCCCTCGCTGTCCAGGCCGGTCCTTGCTCTTCCCACCCGCTCCCCTCCCTGAAACTCAGGATGCCGGCAGGACTGAGGGAGGGGCCCAGGGAGGCACAGTGAGCTGCCCAGAGCCATAGGACACTCACCTCCGTCGGGACCATCTTCTTCTGGGCCAAGCCTGCAGGAGAGAAGGGAGAGGCTTCAGCCTGGAGACGGGGCAGCCCACCCTGCCTTCGCTGCACGCAGGTGCCTGCGACCTCACTCAGCTCCCTGCGCCCCTACGGAGGGACTTGAGGACCCGGGGTGGGAAGTGGGCAAGGATGCTGACCCACCACTGACCCCAAAGACGTCAGGTCCCCAGCGGCAAACGACTGACTGAATTGACAAAGTGCCGTCTACGCCCGCGGGAGGGAGCAGGGCTTAACCAGGAGATGCTCAGGCCGAGGGGAAATCAGGCAACGCATGGGGTCAGTGGGAAGGGGCCAGGTGCCCGGGGCTGGAGCCACGACTCCCTGGCTCCTGTCCACACAGTCCCCAGGGAGAGCTGCTCACCATGGAAAGAGGCTCACAGTGAGGGAGCAGGTGGTTTTTGTCTCTCAGGATCCTTCCCTCCAATCCCAGCTCCCCATGAGAAGGCCAACCACTGACTGACCTCTCTGAGCCTTAGCATCCTCACCCGGAACGCAGGCTTCTGCTGTGGATTATCTGTCCAATGAGTGTGGACGGCAGATATGCCCTGCCCCCTGCAGAAGACGGGCTTTGCAGGGGTGGGCAAGTCAAGGCCCCCGAGGAGGGGGTGACCCTGGGTTCCCAGGGGCCCGGCGTCCTCACGAGGCCCGAACGAGAGGGAGGCAGAGGGTGGGAGTCCCAGAGATGGGCGGACCCCGCGCTGCTGGTGGTGAGGATGGAGGAGGGGCCGCGGGCCAGGAAGAAGCCAGAGCCGGGTCTCCCGGGGGCCCCGGGGGGACCAGCCCTGCCTGCGCCAGGGTTTATAGCCCAGTGAGACCCATTTTAGGCTTGTGCCCGCCAGTGTGTGCTAACAAACGTGTGTGGTTTCAGGCGGAGCTGTGGTGCTCCGTCACAGATGTAACAAGCCCATACACTGGGGTCTACCATGCGTCAGGCTGGCGGGAAGACAGGCGAGACCAGGGCAGACACGGCCTTCACCCTCAAGGGCTCACAGTCGGGGTGGGGGCCAGAGAAGGGCCTGCACAGGGGAGTGGGTGCCAGGAGGATGACCTGGGGGAGGGGTCAGGGTCAGGAGGTGGGACCCAGGGAGGTGGGAGTCCTGGAGGGCTGTGGGCAGAGGTGGGCCAACCTGACTCGACTGTTCACAGGCGCCCTCTGGTGGCCGCTGCGGGGAGGACGGATGGGGGAGGGGTAGTGAAGGCCGCAGCCTGGGACGAGGGTGGAGGGGACAGTTCTGGTGGTTCTGGTCCCGGTGGGAGATGATGGGCTGGACCAGGTGGAGGCAGAGGAGGGAGAGGGGTGGGCAGATTCCGGAGAGGTCTGAAGTTAGGACAGGTGCCTAGGACAGCTAGAGGCTCTGCTCACTGGAGGCAAAATGAAGAAGGGAGTCAAGAATGACTAAGGATCCTGACCGGAACAATTAACAGAGGACAGAGTGGCCTCAGCCGAGATCAGCGACAAGGCAGGAGCAGGTGTGGGGACAGTCGGGTGCAGCGTGGTCGAGCTGAGTGTGAGATGCCTGGGAGCCCCCCGCAAAGAGACCTCCAGGATCAGCTGGACCCCCAAGTCTGGAGCTCAGGGGAGGGCCCATCTGGAGACAGGACTGTGGGCGTCGTCCTGCCATAGACGGGCGGGGGGTAAGAGTGGACAAGGCTGCCCGGGAAGGGAGCGGCTGGGGAGGGAAGAGGCCCGAGGATCCAGCCTGGGCATCGGGGGAGGCACCACGGGGCCGGGGGAGTGGGAGTCCCAGGTGAGGGTCCGGGTTCCGTCTCAGCCCAGCAGAGGAGGGACCTGCTCCACTTCTAACACCAGATAGGGCCAGAGGCTGGGACTGGGGAGTGACTGCTAATGGGAATGGGGTTTCCTTTAGGGAGATGAGAATGTTCTAGAATCAGTGTGGTCATGTGCACCACATTGTGAATACATGAAAAACTAAATTGTAAGCTTAAAATTGTGAATTATGGTGTATGAATCATACTTATGGAAAAAACGAACCCAAGAGGACTGTGAGCCGTGGGTAAGGCTGGGGTCGGCAGGGTGGGGGACGGGTGTCCTCTTTCAGCCGTAACCACCACTGCCCTGTGCCTCAGCCAGATGCCGGCGATGGTGCAGGCAGGGAAACGGGCTGGGTGGGTGACTGGCCGATGCCAGGGTCATGGCCGCAGGGCCCACCAGAGGACACCCCAGCCAGAGGTCAGAGCCAACACTGGTCACTTGCCCAAGGCCCTAGGCGCCCACCCACAGACGGGTGTGGGTGTGGGACCTCCCAACCTGGGCGCCCTGGCCTCAGGGATGAACCTGGGCCCATCCTGAGGCTTGGTCTGAGCAAGCAGGTAGCAGAAGATGCTGGGAAGCTGACATAACATTTGTTGGTTTTACGTCTGGGGTGTGGGAGGAGGAAGAAGAGAGAAGGAAAGAGGCCGGCGGTAGAGTAGACAGAACATTCTAGACTTGGCTTGGGGGCCCCTGGCATTCCCCTTCCTGGCCAGCCTGGGGCCGCTGGACCCGAAGCCCACCCAACCGTGCCTACCTGTGACCTCTGCAGCCCCCAGCCCTTCACCCTGGGGCTCTCTGCCCGAACAGGCCCAGCCCCGAGGTCCAGGCCTCCCCCCACAAACAGTTCCACCAGCTTCCCAGTTCTCCCAGCTTGTCGGGGGCAGCCTGGCGGCTCCCAGCCCCACTCACCCTGCGTGCTCGGGCCACACCAACACCAGCCTCTGATATGAGGTCCTGCCCGGGTCTGCCCTGCCCTGGGACCCCTCAAGGTCACCTGCTTCGTGCCCAGCATCCCTGCAACAGCCACACTCCTCCTGCCCAACTCACACGCTGGCTAATAAAAGGGAGAGATGCGTCCTCCCACCTGGAATACCCTGGGTTCCGTGCCAGAAGAGGCCGCGGCATGATGCCCGGGAGCGACCCCCTTGCTCCCTCAAACACCGTGGCCCTGGGCCCTCGAGGGCCTTCGTGCATCTTCAGAGGGTGAGGGCTGCTCAGGGCGGGTGGGCTGTGGAGGTCCCGTGGCCCTGCCCTATGCTCCCACCAGCCAGACCAGGCCCAAGGAGGCCACGCCACGACGAGCTCCTCCCAGCCCAAGACGTGACCCATTCTCTTCTGAATGAGCCACCCCATTTTTGAGGAAATTAAGTTTTAAAAATAGCCTGGGGAGGGAGAGAGTGTTTCACACTGGGCCAAGACCTGCCCCAGGCGGGGCACAGCTGTGCCAGCCGCTGGGCGGAAGGCAGGGGGTGGCCAGGGCCCAGACCGTTTGGGGTGAGGGGGGGCCATCCCCTGCCTCCCCTGCTCCCTGACCTCTGAGCTAGCCCCTGCAGCCCACCACTGTGTGACCTCAGGGAAGTCCCTTCACCTCTCTGAGCAGCTTTCCTCTGCTCTGTGCCCCTGTGGGTGACCAAAGCCAGGGCTCCAGAGCTGGGCTCCCCCTCCCTAGCCCACCACCCCGCACCACCATCGGACTGCTGCCCCACCCTGCAGACCCTGTCCTGTCCCTCCGGGCGGCAATGACACCAACATCTGTCCTACCCACGGGAGAGGGCCTCCTCCCTCAGGGCTGGACCTGCCCTTAGCAGGCACCTACCAGTGTTTGTTGACTGACTGATGGATGGACAGACAGACACCCTTTCCTCTCCCCTCTGCACGCATGTGAGCTTCAGCAGGAGCTGCTCCTCCACATTTGTTTGACATGGAAACTGAGGGAGGACGGGGCTCAGGAAGGACTGTGGGTCCCCAGGACCCAGGGAGGAGCCCTACCATCTGTCTTTCAGCAGAATCAGCCACCGTACCTTTACAATCCGTCCAAAATCTGCCCACTGCCCCCGGCCCTCTCGGCCCGTCACCTGGACCAGCACAGTCCCCTCCACCCTGGTCCCTGGTCCCGCCCTCACCCCAGTCCGTTCTTCCCGCAGTGGCCACCAGAGGGCGCCCGTGATCACCCCAGTCAGGTCCCGCCCTGCTCTGCCCATAGCCCTCCAGGACTCCCTCCTCCCTGGGGGAAAAGCCCAAGTCCTCCCTGAGGTCCCCAAGCCCTGCAGGACCTGCCCCTGTCCCCTATCTGCCCTCCCCTCCTCCCTCTCCCCTACTCTGCTCCAGCCACACAGGCTTCCTCGCTGTTCCTCCAACATGCCAAGCAGGGCCCTGCCCCAGGACCTTTGCACAGGTTGCCCCCCCCCAAAACACCACTCCCGAGACACTTGCAGGGTTTGCTAACTCGCTTCATCCAAGACCTGGCTCAAAGGTCACCCCCTCTTAGGTGTCCTCCAACCACTTCGCCCAAAACAGCCCCTCTGAGGTCACTCTCCTCACCTCCTTGGCCTTCTGGGTCTCCCAGGCACTCGGCAGCACCCGGTGCCTCCGTGTTATGTCTCTCCCACTACCGGGAGAGCAGGTCTGCTCAGTCACCCCCTGACAGACACCTTCAGGGCTCTCTGCGTGCAGAGACTCCCCACCGGACACGAGGGGCATGAGGCCTGTCAGCTCCATGCAGGGTGGGGCCCCTGCCCAGAGCAGGACTGCCTGGGGCCCAGGACGAGCGCCGGCTCCCCGTGACTCAGAGCCAACAAGAAAGCACTAGGCCATGGCAGACAGGGCCAGCAGCCCCGAGAAGCCAGGAAGTGGTGCTGAGGCCCAGCTGCACAAACTTCCCTGATCAGCTGGGATGCTCGCGCTGCCCTGGGCCTCCCGCGGCACAGGCCTCTGGGGCAGAGCCCTGCGGGCAGCCTGTGAAGACGCTGGGAACCCCTGGGGGGCAGTGCCAACCCTCAGCCCTGGTCAGCCTTGGCCCGCCAGGACGCTCAGGAGCCGCACCTGCAAATCCTCTCTCCAAACAGGAAGAAAGGCTCCCGTGGCCGAGTGAAGACGGCCGGTTCTCTGCGGCCACGTGACGCTCTGAGCTGCAGAGTGCCGCCGAGGGGACGCCGAGGGGACCGCAGGGCGCGGGCAAGGCTGGCAGCCTCCGATTCCGCCCTCCGGGAACCC